TGTGTGTGTGTGTGTTTTGAATAATCTCACTCTGTAAAAAAAAAATGAATGATCTATCATGTTAACCCATCATTAAAGGGCATTTTACAGGCATTCATTAGGGAAGGCGCTCGTCAAGGGCCCCACCTTTAATTTCATGCTGCTCAAGCAAGAGAAAAGGTGCAGGACAAAGGAGAGGAGATTGATGCCTGATCTGTCCCAGTGCAATTCCAGCAAAAACAGACAGGAGGTGCTGATTCAAAACACTCTCAAGATGAGCCGAATGAAATCTATCCATGAAGCGACAGATCGGGCCGATTCACACAGCCCCACAGCATGTCATGGGGACAGTAGATCAAGTCAGCAATTAACCCTCCCGCCGGCCCCTATCAATCCATGAATTGGGGAAGGCTCACCAGCGCCACACAATCTCTACAGATATTAAATTTACATTCTATTAAGTTTAATTAGGAGGGATTTTAAATATACTAGGAGTCGAGGCATCGAGCCCTGATCTTGTCACCAATGCAGTTGATTCACGACTACAGGCCACATCAAAGACGCGCACATTCACATGCACAAACATGCACACGCTTGCGCTCGCTCACACAACCCTCGAATACTTCATCTTGTACTTCTTTCTAATTGTATTTAGAAAAGTGTCTAGAACATTTATGCGTGAATAAGGGGGAAATATTGCTCTAGGCGGGAATGTTGGTTTCAAAGTAATATATTTGCTTGCTGCTGAGACCAGCTGCTACCGAGCAATGCTATCATGAGTGTATTGCTATAAATTGTTAAAAGTATTTGGTGAAATGTCTGATCACTGCACGCACGCACGCACACACAAACACACACACGCACATAAATCACTCAAATCTGTATACATGAATGAAGTATGCTCTAATTGAACAAATACAGCAAGTGAAAATGCAGCCTACTGTACTCTACTGTGCTCCTGTTTGCAGCTGAACGGCTTGTGTCCACACTCACTTGGCATCAGAAGTCAGTCTGTTTTCTTGTTTTTACCTGTATGTTTTTACGCTGCAGCAGACCCACAATTTGCGATGGATAGGCCATGCATAGTGAATTTCTGCTAATAATTAATGCCAAAATGCAACTATACAGTGGGATTTTAACCATACTTTTAACCTTAAATATACCTCTAGTGATGATCCCAAATTACTGTACATCAATGGTGCTGACTGCCAATGCTCCTGGATCTGCTTGTGCTGGTGGGGAGCTGCTTTGTAGTCTGCTGGCTCCAAGCATCATCGCAGTTGATGCAACAGTGACTAGCAGTTAGGTGTTGACTGACATAAAACTGCCAGAGCCATGCAGTGACAACACGAACTCGGGATCATAGATAGGTTTAGGGATGTTCCTTTCAGCTGTTGTTCCCGGATGCCACTGGTTTTAATGCAATAATTAGTCCCAATTGACTCACACTTAAGAAGCCAACATAAACATGGCCGCTGCCATCTTATCGATCCATTCCCGCAGTCAATAACAAATTCAACACGGCGGCTGCGAGATCTGTGATTGGGTGGGCAAGTGTTTGTCGGCACAACAGGTGTTGCTGAGTGGAAGTTTGGTTGGTAATTTTCTGACGATTTGCCATATTACAATCTGCAAATAGCTGAATTTGTAAATGTCGGACCGCTATTCAGAGTCATCTCCCAAACTTCAAAGCAGTCCCTTTACCGTTTTCATGTTTCATCAGCACTGTAGCAAAGCATGATCAAGCCAAAGCATGAGGAGAGGCGGGTTGGCGGGGACTGGATGGGCTCCAGGCTGCTCAGCCCTAACATTAGTCTCCACGTGGCTGTGTCCTTTGTTTGCCAGTCAAAGGGCCGCTGAATGGAGGTCAATTGAAACCAATTCCCTCTGTCGGACACAATTAATAGGGTTGCCCAGGCTGGAGAGAAGGGGGGCTACCATAGGTCTTTGGTTTCTGATCCTGCTGCAAAAGCATGGCAGGAATTTGCCACCTGGAATTTATCCAGCGGCAATAGTAAGCCTACCTCTTTTCAAACCTATCTCCTTTTTTGTACACGATGATACAAATATTTTTAGCTACCGCAAGTAAGGATGGGAGACAGGGGAGTGTCTAATGGTTGTCTGCAGTCAATTCGCCCAGAGTGCGCCAGCAATGGCGAAGGGACACGGTGGAGCCTGCAGCTAAAGAGAAATGTGCAGGAGTCTTTTCCCAATTAGCGATTCTGGGGCCCGCAGATGCAGGTGAGTGTGATGTCGCCCAACAATAAAAAACATTTTTGTTTGACGTATCTAAAACCTACAAAACCCTTAGCATAATTTTCTGTGAGCTGCACAGCAGAGGAGACAGTGAAAATGAGAGCCAGCCTGCGTGTGTCTTCAGACGAGATGGGCGATCGATCCAGTTAAACACTTGGGTGGATGTGCACTAATTGTCCACTTGACATTAATTGTCATTAGAGGCCTTAAAATGGTCAACTGACCGTGAGTTACATCCTGTGCCATGGTTGCAAACCATTTGTTTATTGGTGACATCACAGCTCTCTCAGTCGCTAATACATAGGTCACTGTTAAATCAGACAAGTTGACCACTACATTGGACGGGTTTATTTGAAGTGGAGCAGCTTCTTTAAGGCAGCTAGATGACATCATAAGCTGTTTCTCGTGTTGCCACTAAAGGGTCAGTTTGTTTGAGAAACAAACATTAAGACCAACAGAAATTATCTCTGAGTTTGAGACGGTTTCTGTCCACAGGTCTATTTCCTGAACCTCAAAAGGCCACCTACGTTGGTGTCACACCCTCTTAAAGTGGGTGTATCGATCCGAGTCTTTTGGCCTTAACAAATTAGTTGAGATGAGTGTGTGTGTATTCACACTGGATGTGAATGGGGGCCAAGGTGCATATGAAAGGAGAAGTGTAGAGGGGAGGGGGGTAGAGATGGACACATAGTGATGCAAGCCTTACACTTCCCTGGAAAAGGGGTCATGACCCCGACCACACTCAAACAGCATGTCAGTGTGTTAGAGACAAGGAGTGGGTTCCTGCTTACCTACCACAGAGCAGAATGGACAAGGAAGGAAACATGAGGGGAGTGATCAAGATTCGGTACACAGGTGTAGCACTGAGAGGCTCAGAGTTGATACCATAATAAGAGATGGGGGCGCGGGGGGGGGGGGGAGTTGTAGCTCTAAAATTGAAAATGTTTCACCAAATCCATGTGATCAGTATCGTTGCCAGCATTTTAAAACCCTAATCGGAAAACCCCTCCTCTTGCTAATTAAGCCCCAATCCCAATGAGCGGCAAATATTTGCGAGTGTTTGCAAAGGTAGCAAATGCACTCTCATCAGGGTTCGTTCAAGGTTGCAAACGGTCACCAGACATTTGCCTGTACTTTTCATATTGCCCATCCCAGCTGTCTTGAATCCACTACAAAGACAATATTTCATTTAGCAAAGAATCAACTTTGAATTTTATAGCTGTAACACATTCAGAAAGAGCTGGAATAGGGTCATGCTTTTACATCATCTTTTCTTATAACATCATTCAAAAACGTTTGGGAACCAAGGACGCTAACTGTTTAAGCTTTGCAGGCAAAATTGTTTCCCCATTCTTGCTTGTTGTACAGCTTCAGCTGTTCAACAGTCCGGGGTGTCCCCATTGTCGTATTTTACGCCTCATGATATAGATCTGCACTGCAGGCAGGCCAGTCTAGTACCTGCGATCTTTTACGACAAAGCCATGCTGTTGTAACACATGCAGAATGTGGTTTGGCATTATCTTGCTGAAAAAGACATTACTTGGATGGCAGCAGTGGTTTTTCTAAAACCTGGATGTACCCTTCAGCATTAAATAAATAGAGAGAGAGAGAGAGAGAGAGAGAGAGAGAGAGAGAGAGAGAGAGCTGTTGCCAGTCATTCGGCAAACACGTATTCACACTCAAATTCATACTACTCACCCTCACATGCATACCAAATGACAATTTAGACTTATCAAATAACCTAATTTGCCTGTTTTTGTAACGTGGGACGAAACTAAAGTAACCAGAGAAAAACCGTGCAAGCACAGGGAGAACATGCCAACTCCACAAAGGAAGGCTGGCGCAGGCCAGAGCTTGGATTCAAAACTCCTCATTGACTGTAGGTGGTTCTGGAATGCATCTGTGAGGTATCTGTTTTCTGCAACTTGGTTGACCACTTTCTGAGGCGATCTACAGGCCTCCTAGTGGCTTGATGACTACCCTGCACATGGTTTCTCCATGTGTACCACACAGAGTGAAGTCCTTCCTAAGCCATTTGAGCAAAAACCCTCCATTCAGAAAATTTCCCCTCCTCCTTTCTCTCATGAATGGCCTTCTGTTGAAATGAACAATGCCCACACCTTGAACAGGGCCACTGATTCGAAGACCATTGTACTCAAGAGGAGGGAGAAGATCGTGCAACAAGGAGCTCTCCCACTCTGTTATCAACGAACACCCCTAGTCTCCAGTGTGCCTTTATGACTTGTGATGCCACTAACACCCCCTCTGAATCTCCTCTTAGGAGAATGCTGAATGGCTGCACTACCTTGCCTCTTGCTGGCCTCATTTGCACCAAGAGAAGGAGAAAGAGGGGAGGGTGCAGGAGAGGAAGGAACAGAGAAAGAGCAGTGAATGGGAGCATAACATAACAATGCACTTGGAGGCACAGTGAGCAAACACAGCTGGACCATCCACAGTGAAACCTTTAATGAGTCATAACTCTAAAAAGACAGTCATACTAAAGCACTTTAACTACTTTATATTGCAGTCCCTCTCTCTCACACACACACACACACACACACACACACACACACACACACACACACACACACACACACGCACACACACACATCACAATTAGCTTGATAGCACATTACATTGCTTGTATTAAGTGTATTAATGGACAGCTGTGTCCATATTTCACCCATCTCACGGAGTTATTCACACAATTAGCCTGTTTAGCATGTTGACTGCTGGCTCATCAAACACAATAGAAGAGCACTCACCTCAATAACTTGTTTTGAGTCCAACCTGAAGTTAAAATCCCCAAAGACGAAATATGGCACCCTTTCAAATCGCTGGTCCGTGATCCTGCAAAACATTACAACCACTTGATTGCCAGAACGTTTGGAGCCGGATGATCTGTGATGGACACACATGACCTGAATGCACGCAGGAAAAAGTTCATGACAGTCCACGGTTTAATAGAAAACATTCCCTCTGAAAAAATACAAAACGTGTTCATATATATTTTTTCAATAATTCTCCAATAAAAATGATTTAGGGTCTACTCGGGATCATCTTTCCACTGCTTTGACCTTAAACTATTTAAATGATGGTCACAGCACCATCTTGTGGTGTGATTATTCTGACATTTTACATGATCTATTTTCCAATACATGTTTTTCTAGCCTGGCTCAGTGAATGAGCGTTATTGGTGAATCACAGCATAAAATATGCTGAACATTAAGAAGATGGAGGAAAAGAGAAATAACATAAAAATTGGATACAAAGCAGATTTATAGCACTTACATCGACGGCAAATGCTGTGCAATAGCTCGTAACACTTCAACCCAAGAGAATGGAAGACTTGAAGCTAATATATTGAGCTTTAAAAAATTTTTTTTTTTTTACGAAAAATCGCAGGAAGCTAAATGGAGTAACCTACATATTATAGAGCATTGTTGTCTTTTGAAAGGAGAGAGCGTATGCTCGAATGATGTTAGTACTGTACATGCAGCAGGAGAACACAGGGAGCGGGTGTGGGGCATAGCCATGTCCTCCCGGAACTGCCTTTGGCTCATTTGGCTGATAAAACAAGTAAACAGGCTCTCGAATCAAAATAATTATGAGTCAGATGACCCCACAATTTAATTAAGAGATCACTTCATTTGATAACCTGCTTTGATCCTCACGCTGATCAGTTTTTGAAGTTAATTCACTTTGACTTAAAGTAGAGCGCACTGACTTGAATCATAAGAAGATACATGTACATCTCAGAGACAGCACTGAATTTATCACCGTGCAATCTCAGCTACATAAGAGAGCCTGTAGATAAGACCAACTGCCTTTGTAGATGTGCTCTCGATCAGTATTTCCAGACCTTTATTGGCTCAAAATATGCATACATGAAATAAAACTTTTGAAAAAAACTCATCGTCCACCACCTAACAAAAATTTCCAAAAATATCAACACTGGATAAAAACTGATCATCTTGTCTCACAAATGTACTTAACTCAGTGTGAAATTTGAGCCTGTTTCATTGAACACAAAGCTAAAGCCATGACGTACTTTGTTGAATAAATGGCAAATGATTGATTAGAACTTCTGCCATCTAGTGGAATAGCTTCGAAGGATATTTAGCCCTTTGTGGATGCGAGCCCACGAGGTTTTTGTGCCTTTTTGTTGAACCAGTTGTCTTCATAACGTCTTCCATTTATTGTTTTGTAATGCCATTTGTATTTATAAGTTTCATGTTAGTGTTCGTTATCAGTTCTCTCGGCTTGCCAATTAATAAACCCTGTATTCGCATGGACTTTGTATCATGCTTCACGCTACATCCTGAGGGAGCTACATATGGATCAATATTCTGATTTCTTGGACATAGTATTTTAAATGTTCTGTAAAGGACTTTGTTAAAGCTTCAGTGGGTGTGAAAGCTCGATATGAATAATAGTATTGTATTGTATTCCTTTAGCATTGCTCCATCTAGTGGATGCATAACGTAACCACAGCCACTTTTGTAGCTTCTATTCTATGCGTGGGCACCTTATAATGCAGCGTGTCCCACATATGAAAACAGTTTTAAAATGGGCCTTTTTAAGTGAAGATGTGCCTTATAATCTGAAGTGCTTTATGGTGCAGAAAATCCGTTACTTTTCAACAAAGAATTTGCAGTTTCTCGACAAGACTGTCATCAGTCCAAAGAGTGAATTTCGGCTTCTGCTTATTGAGGCAGGCCTTGACTATGCATTCTCTCCCTGGTGGTTGGCTGACCACTGTTAAGTAACGTTTGTTTAGATTTGCATACCAAGTGAATGTACAAAGTACTTAGTTGGCACAGTGGAGTTTAGGGCAATACAGTTGTTTCACAGGTTACGTACAAACAAATTTGATGAGATAACACCAATTACAGTCGAATTCAGCTGGGAACTGTGGCCTGGCACGTGTTCCAGGGGACAATCTTCAGTAGTAAACCTCTCTTGTCATCAGGTGTTTGGGACATTAACTATACACCCTAGGCCAGACATGTCCAGCTCCAGTCCTCAAGGGCCGCTGCCCCGCGCATTTTATATGTCTCCCTACTCCAACACGTCACCAAACTTTGAAGAATCCTGATAATGATCCTGATCATTTCAATCAGGTGTGTTGGAGAAGGAACACATAAAACACACAGGACAGGAGCCCTCTTGGACCGGGTTTGGACCCTCCTGCCCTAGGCTTTATTTAAAGGGAGACCAGGTCCTGCAGTGTAACACCCAAAACACTCAATCAAGCAGGAGCCCAACCTGAATCGTTTCTTTTAATCCAAAGCCACTGGCTACTTCTCTCAGTTATTTCCAACATTGCTTTGATGGTTTGGCGCAGGCTCTGGCCTCTGATTCCCAGTTCTCTCAACACTCTGGTAGTAGGCACTGCCACAAACACTCTGTACCCCACTTCCAAAGGTAAAACTTGTTTTCCAACCACTCTGTGGTGCTTCAGAGGGTACTTCCGTCCAGCACTGTTTTTTTTTTTTTTTTGTGCCCAAAGGCCTCATCTATTGAGTGTCTTCACAGGGTGTAGTGAGTTCAATGAAGTTGGGAGGCAATCTCTGAAAGAAAAATAGGCTTCCAGTCAACATCCACCAGCATCTTTCAGTCACAGGACCTACAGAGGTGATCATGCTCCATAGAAGTGTAGCTGCATTTGGCTAACTTTGTCCCTCAGCGAACAAACATGATTTGTGGTAGATTTTCCGCTGCTGTTGGGAAAGGCTTTGGAAGCAGTCTGTTTGCTCGTCGTTTAGTTTGATCATGGGAGGCAAAATAGAGATCACGATTAAATTTGATTGTGTAGCCCTAATAGGAACATCTGCCTCACAGTGCAGAGATCGTGGGTTCGAATCTGGCCCTGGCCTGTCTGTGTGGAGTTTGCATGTTCTCCCCGTGTCTGCGTGGGTTCTCTCCGGATATTTCGGTTTCCTCCCACATTCCAAAAACATGCATGGTATGTTAAATAATCACACTAAATTGTCCGTAGGTGTGCTAGTGAGTTTACATGTTTGTCAATGTGATCCCCTGCGATTGTCTGCCAACCAGTTCGGGTGTAGAATGCTTATTGCCCAAAGGCGGCTGGAATCGGCTCCAGCACGTCCGCGACCCTCACGAGGAGATAGCGGTTCAGATAATGGATGGATGGATGCTTTTCGGGGAGTCAGGTTTAATTGACAAATTCCTTATTAGAATAACTTGTCACTTATTTGTTGTGTTTTCCCAATAGGTAATGTTGGAAATCAAGGCAAATGAAGAAGCCTCTTGTGTAATTAATGACTCGGGATGCTTGGCTCACTCTCACTACTAATTGTGTGGATAAATCTCGCCGTGAACTTCCTAGGCCCCGATAACAATATATTTATGGGGCCGTAAAGCGAGAGGCCACTTCTTGGTGGTGGGGCTGTGTTGTAGCTGCCTGTCTTAATGCATGGTCACTTCCTCTCTGCAAGTCGGTGAGAGTGAAGGGCAGGAAGGTGAAAGAATAAGACATGGAATGCAGCTATAACTTTAACATTATATTATATTAAACTGACATGAGCCCAAAGGGGTTGGACTGAAAGGAGCAAGCAGGCTAAATGAGCTAATGAGTGTAGAGGGAGTATAGTAGCTAATTCCAAGTCTAATGCATAACGTTCCACTCTAGTCAAGAAGCCCAGCTATTTGCCAATATGTGATACTTATGTAATATGTGACTTTTTCATCACAGCACATATCCCCCCCCCCAGTCAGATCTGGGACACTTTTGTACTGTTGTTGGAGATTGGATACATTCTTCATGTTCTGTGATGCCTCATAGTGTAAATGGTTGTGTAGCGTTTAATCCGAACTTCACAAGTCGTCACATACTAATTAAACCATCTGATTTCCAGAAAATGATCCAAAATCATCCCACCATGTTATACACTAATGCTGAGTGATAGAGAAAAAAAAAACTTCCACCACAATATTGGCCATTTTATATCGCAATCACAATATACCACAATATATTTTCAAGCATTTTAATTGAAAAAAAACAAAACTTTTGACTTTGTTTTGAAGTGACATTAAACAGATCAGTATTAAATGATTTATGCATCCAGTCAGTGCTGCTATCTAAAGTTAGCAAGTGTAAAAAGGAGCAAAGTAACCTACATGCTGTATGTTTGCACAAACATAGATATGAATCTAAATAAGAGGTACAAAAAGTAGTGTTGGTGACAGAAACTGATTAAAAGAAAAAAGAAAAAAGAAAAAGATTAGCTTTACTGTAATGTAATTTTGAAAACTTTTATTTTGGAGATCTCAAAAGTAAAAAATGAAACTCACTACTGCATTGTGAAAACAAATCTCATTTGTAATATAATATGCATTCAATACACTCACTATATATGCAAACATTTTCTGAATCACTTTTCTGCAATATTAATATGCATCTTCTAATCTTCCAGGCAAGATCTACAGAAGGCCGATAACGATCCTGATCATTGAATCAGGTGTGCTGGGGGAGGGAAAAATTTCAAACATGGAGGATAGTGGCCCTCCAGGACCGGAGTTACACACTCATGACCCACGTCGTTGTCATGAATGAAAAACAAGAGGGGGACCAATACAGAAACCTGCGACTGAAGGTACACTGACTCACCATTTTTCAAACTCCTTCATTTAAACTAACCATTTTGAGGAGTCAAAAAAAATAACTGTTTCATGAAGCTAATTTGAAGCTTCATTTTTCCATGACTGGTGTAATGTCTAATTTTATTTACTGAATAAATGAAAATATATTGTGTCATATCATTATTGTGATATAAAATGACCTATAACGCGATAGAACATTTTTTTCCTCATCACCCAGCACAATCTCAATTTATTCTGTTACCCTTCATGGAGGGTTGTGAAAAGGCTGAAGACATTGCCTGTCAGATGTGAGAATTTCCGGATGTCTTTGGTTAGTGGACAATGTACCCCAAGTCTGCTGCTGCTGCTGCTGCTGCAAAAAAAAAAGGACAACCATGGCAGCCTAAACTTGAACACAAAATCAAAGTTGGCCTGTCTGAAAATATTGTGTGACAGCTATGTTTCCAAACTGCCTTGAAGAGTGTTTCAAGACTACATTCTGTAGCTTTATCCAGCTAACAGCCATGTCTAATACCCAAAACTTGGCTGTTTTGTCTGCTGGTGTAAGGTATCAGCCACAGGTCAGAAGGTAACATTCTGTTTACACGATCATTTCCTAAAGCACTCTTGCTGACCCGCTGGTGTGAAAGTTGACTTTTTTTTTCCCTCTGCCTTTGTGTGTGGAACGAAGAATTGCAACATTAGCTCCAGCTACTGGGTGTGAAAAGGCTCTGAGAGTGGGGGGTCCAGAGAAACCCTCCAACCCCCGCTGGCTGACCCTCACCCTTATCCGGGGCCCCCATTAGCCTCGTAATCACAGTTCATTCAGGCAAACTGTAACAGTGTCACTGACATTCTAGCACAAAGACACACTCCTTTACACAGTCTATAAACATGCTTTCTCCTGGCCAATTCATCGTGCAGTGACACTCCTGAAAAAGCCTCTTCACAAGGCCAGTTCTCACTGTGGCTCGGGCTTGGGCCTTCATTGGGCCTTCCTTTGGGGCCACACAAAGACAGGGGTCAGACACTAATTTATAATATGGCCCCCTCAAACTCTGCTCCCAGGCTCCTTAAACCACCACTATTCTTTTACTCTGCATCGAAATTGCTTTCAAACAAATACTTTGAAGGAGCTAATAGAAACATGTGGTCAAGACACGAAAGTCATCCAATACCGCAAAATGCAGACGTGTAGCCAAACGATATCAGGCTTAAAGCAGGCAGACAATCCCTCTCTCTCACACCCCAGTCAGTCAGTATTCCTCACTGCCTTCGAGCAGGATTATATGCCGTGATTGACAGCTAAACTGGGACGTAATAGACAACCGATACGGGATTAAGAGGGTGAAACTGGGGGCCGTGTCATGATTATATTGACAAGATGACTTACCATAATTTGGCCGGGCAAATTCAACTTTGCACACAATGGCTGGGCTGTGCATGGTCATCCATTGTAAGTAAATGTTGAGAATTTGGGAGAATGTTAAACATTGTGAAGAATGTGCTTGGTGACATCTTTCTGAATGGGTCAAGGGTGGCCCTGACAGGGCCTTTGACACTGCAGAGAAGGCCTTCACACAACACAACTGTTCTGCAACACCCACTCGAGCAATAACACCACACAGGAGAGAGTGAGCTGTGTGGGATGTTTCAGCGACACACAGAGGATAAGAAATAAGTCAATTAAATCAACACCAACAAACTGCCGATGCTGTCAGACATCCCAGGAACAGGTGGGGACAAGGAATGTGAATTTGACAGTTATTGCACACAGTAAAATAAATAGGCTGATGAAAATCAATATCCATATTTATGGCTTTAAAAATGTAATTGTAATTTAATTATATACAATCATTCAACTGCGATTGGCTGGCAACCAGTGCTGGGTGTACCCCACCGAGTGCCCGGAGACAGCTGGGAGAGGCTTATGCACGGCCGGGGGCCCTCGTGAGCATAAGCAGCTCCGATAATGGATGGATGGACAATTATTCAATTTAGTCAATGAACTAACAATCTCATAAATAAATACATGTAAAAATGAGATCTTATATGCATATTATTTTTAAAACTATCATTGAAGTTGATCATTGTAAACTGCGTGTGTGTAGCCGAGCATTAACCTAAGCTCTGGCCCCCCAGGAAGAGGAATTAGATCTACAGTGTGATTCGTCACATGCAGTCACATTGAGACACTTTGTTATATAATGGAATAAAGGAATAGATACTTGATGTGTAATTATAGTAGGATAAAACAAATTGGGCCCGCTTTTGATTCATAGAATGATTTGTCAATTGACGCTTTAAGGAAATTCATTGATGTGTAAATATTAGGTCTATCAAATGTCAAAATTTGTTGTATTACTTTGGTCCAAACAGTTCGTATAACACATACGTGAACACACCCATTTGAATAAATTCATCCTGGCTTTATCGAGGATACCCTCTGTGATTATCCAGTCCACCCTCTTGCTGCTCAAAATGTCTATTGGCTGAAGACTTGCCGGCCTCTCTGTGCTCTTTCAGCCTGTTGTTCTGGGAAAAGCCGAAAGGGAAACATTTAGGTTGTAGGGCTCTTTGAGACGCTCTGACAGTTGACTGATGACCGTCCATAAAATGACAAAGCATCGCTGTGTGGTAGCCAGTGTGGCCCACTGCCTCCCCATGGGAAACTAATTGCTTTGAATTGTTAAAGGCAACATTATTTTTCTGCCAATCACTGCCTTTCAATGGTCCGAAAATGAGCATGAAACAAGCCTTTTCAGCGAACAAAAACGGTAAATGTCCTCAATGTTGATCAAATTAACTTCAGCACTGTGACAATGGACTATATTTGTGTGAAAATAATGGCGTGTCCCGAAAGGAGCTTTTATGGTAGGATTTCACAGTTGTAATGTAAAACTATTTTCCAATGAATAAGGCTGAGCACTCTGAAAAGCCGTGGAAAAAGAAACAAACTCCACTACACAATGAGCATTTTCTTTTAAGGGAAAGTAAAATTAAAAAAAAAAAAAAAAAAGTATATTTTTATCTCACATGTCTTTACACTACCGCCTTCTTAAATGCGGTCTCGAAAGACTTGGGCTTGGTCCATCCTTTAGGAAAGTGCAGAAAAATATCCAACTGTAATAAAAAAAATGACTGCCTTCATAATATATATTTAAAACTTACAATGCAAAATGTTACAATTTTGCACACGTGAATAAAAATATGTAGCAAATGAGTTGCTTCTTGTTGCCTTTACTGCTTGTGAGAGGTTTTGCACAACAGCACAAGCTACAGAGCTGTGCGCTTTTAATGCGTCTCAGCATCGAGGTCTGGTCTGGCAAAGCGCTGTTCCTTCTCAGCATTGTTCCCCTGAGGCCTTGAAGCACTTTGGAGATAAACACCATTTAGCAGTTAAAAGAGGCACTGAGGAAAAGGCTTATCAGATCAGTTCTCAATGGGCCGTAAGCTGCATTATACCGCCCGGGCCCCAGATAAGGTGTTAGCTGAGGTTTGATGCCCAGTAGCACAGATCTGTCCTCTGTATGTTCGACTCCTGTAATGACTCCTTGTGGAGCTCAGCTGGTGGTGTGTTCAGCGGCCCCCTTTTCCTTCTCTCCTTATCCCGCGATGAGAGATTTGAGCTCAGAGAGGCAAGGGAGAGGAGAGGAAGGGGGGGATTGGCTTTGGATATTCCCCCTGTCCCTTTTCCTGCTCCGCTTTCTGGGGGTAGGGAGTCACATTTAGGACAATAGTCAAAAAGATGGTTCCCAACCAGCCAGTGAATGGGAACACTGTTGGTGGTAGGACTTCATTCAAAGACCAGGCCGGGCACATTGTCCTCCCAGATCAGCAGAGGATAATGGAGTTTGCTGGTGGCTGCCAAAAGGTTAGCAGCCTCTGTGAAAGGACCAACCCATTATTTATTGCCCTTTACAGAGCCCAAGGACCCTTTTTGTGCTCCTCCTCCCTTCCTTCTGCACTGCCAGCCTTTTTCTCACTCGGGTGCTCCGGATCTGCGCACGACAGGTTCCCCCAAAGTGAACGACTGAGGCGCAGTACCCTCAACAACCTAGCCTGGGGGGCCTATATAACGGGCTGTCCGAAACATGTAAAAGCTCCCCATCTTTACTTCACACCACTTACCACTGATGCCCGATCAGATAAAAAGGAAGTTTTAAACGAAACGACATGACCCAGAAATAACAGCAAGGTTAAACGTGAGCATTTTAAAAGCAGGGAGCGTGGAAAATGCCACTAAGCCAAGTGAATTTTCATTCGGAACCTTCAGCCACCTTGCTGCAAGTCTGACACTCAACTATTTACATCTATTTACAAGCTGACAGTGAAGGGGGAAAAGCAGCTGTAAAACCATCATAAAAGTGGAGGATTCAATCAAAATAGAATCTTCATCATGCCAGTAAATCCCGTTAAGTAAGGGCATCATAAAAATGCAGGGAAACATCCTTGTCCATTAAAAGGTGTGCCATTCTTTCATCAAAGAGAGAATGGTGTAAATAAAACGTGTCCCATAATTCAACTATGTCACCTATACGTGGAGTTATTCAAAGTGGAGGTGACAGGAGGACATGTGGTGCATTTTGATGCCATTCATGTGGGATTAAGCTACCAGGTAGAGGACAGCAGTTACTGTATCAATAAGACTCTCTTATCAGTGCTATGAAGAGAATCAAGAGTGTTCCGGAATGTCACAAATATGGATGAAAACAAACATGGATTCAATATGTCAGCAAATACAAAATAGGGTCAGTCATGTCTAAATGTACCTGTCTAAAACGTAGCCCAGTGCCTTCTGTCTGGTTCCAGAGTAGACCGAGGGGCTCTTCTCCCAAGCCACCAGATTGGAAGCATCGTGGAAAAGATGGATGTTTACCAGGTCAAAACAACTGGGATTAAAAAGAATCATGATCAATAGATAAAAACACGGTTTAGGAAAACTTCAGACAAATACATAATTTGAAATAATGTCACACAAACCTTTGGACGTCGCACAACACATCATCATCATCACCATCAAACATTAGTTGGGACCGTCAAAGGATTCACGCTGAATGTGGGTTTGCTTTTTCTTATATAGTATATATTATATAATAGATGTTTTTTATGGTTGTTTTTGTTGTGTTTGCTGAACTTTTATTTTTATTTTCCTTTTATTAAAAAAGTGGATTATTGTATTAACGTATGTCGGGATACGGATGCCTATAGAGTATACTAATATATATTTTTTTAATTTGTCTTACATTAGTACTATGTTGGTGTTCATTTAAGAAAAATGGTATATGATATAAGGAAGTTGAGATAGGGGTACATGAGTCTGACCCCTTCCTACTCCTTTCCAAATATGTGCAATTCCCCTGTATTTTTATATTATTCCAGTTGAATCATGGCTGTCTTTTTTATGTTACGACATTCTCAAATGTTCAAAATGAAGAATTCTATCAATCAATCGCAACCTTACGCAGTCAAAAGGAAGGAACGGCCTCACGAGGGTTCTTAACTTCTCTAGAGAAGAAAAATGTGACTCATTCAAAGCAGTATTGACTTCAGTGGTGTCCCACTATTTTTGCTCAGCTTACACAACTTTACTTGGGCAAACTTATCTTTACACTGTACCACAAGTGTAAAGATAGTTTATAATGTTTCACCTTCACTACCATTAATTCCACTGATGTGTTGGCGTGATTTTAATAAAAAATATTACCTTCTAGAAGACATTTATTTTTTCCAATGCTCTGGATCGTATTGTGAACAACCTTGGAGGTTCGCTGGACTATTAACAACATCTGTGTTGTAAGAATCTTCAGCAGTCGAGGCACAAATGAGCTAATCTGCTTTCATTCATCTTGTCATGTCAAGATGGAGGCGATAGCTCAGTGCATAGTGATGACGATATCTTTGCTGATCGTATCATTCTGCCGCCAATTTATTTCTTTATTTTTTTTTAGCATGAAAGGCTTGCTCTTATCTCACAGGGTTTCCTCTGCGGCGGGATCCTAAACAAAATGATGCGTGCATGTCCTCCTTTATCGCTATCACTTAACCAGTCGCTCTCTCTTTCGCCCAGCTTGCGCTTGTCAAACATCACGGCCCTATTAAATGCATACCGTTTCAACTCTTTAGTTCTCGTGTCATACCTTTATTAGATTACCACTCACCCCGGCCCGCCCTTCCACCCACCGCACTCTGCTCTTGCAAACTTGAAGCTGCATTTGCATTCCACCCACACAGGTTCAATTGCATGTAATGTTTTGTGTCATCTGTCATATGCAACTCCTTGACTAACATGATTATGTCTAATCAAATCCCCGCTCGCTTGCCCGGAAAGGATGCGGCTATGAAACGAACTCTCTTGTCTGCACTGTCAAACGCAGCTTTTCTAGGTGAAATGGAAGAGATGTAGGGACGGATACTGAAACGATTTTAATTCTTCTACTACTACTCTTAACAATGCTAGTTATTAATCTGGTGCCTTAAGTCTTATCGGTACTTTTTGTTAGAAAAACACTCAAACAAAAATATTAGAACACCTTTTAAAAAAATAAATAAATGTACTTGCCATGCAACTACAATGACATAAATGTTAAAAATACATTTAAAAAAACAGTTATTGACAGAAAAAGAAATGATGTGAAAAAAAAATCGCTATTATACTGTTAACCATGATATAAACAATTATTTAGTGTAAAAGAAAATTTATGCAGAGCATCAAAACTGGAACATGCAGTTGGGCTGCAAAAATCACTTCTGTGAGGTGGGATGCACATTTTCAATATTTTTGTTAAAATTGCTTGAATTTCGCCCCCAAACAACATTTCAATGAATGATTGCCCTTGTGACACCGTGCATTGAGCGACGGCGTTGCCATGTCCTCCCTCGTTCCTCTCCGGTCTCCAGACATAACCACTCAAACCAAGAATAACCAAACTTTTACATTAGCGTAATGATTGCACTGGGTGGAAATCGTTTAGCCATGCCAAAAGATGCTCGGATGTTGCATTCGTAGCATCAGACCTAACCAAATATAAAGGACGTCAGCTCGCACTGTGTGAGTCGATCTCACTCCTCGAAGCCTTGAAAGCCGCTGATTGAGCGGTCGTACACCCAAGCCAGTGCAAAATAGGTGCAAAATAATGTTCGTAAAGAATAAACCTACTGAAATGTAATTTGAGTAATTTCTCCAATATTGTTAACACTACCGTTAAGGGTGGAGATCTTAAATAGCCTCGGGGCCAGTTTACTACTGGGTTTCCATCCCTAAAGATACGGCGGTCGTATTTTAATTGTCATCTTTATTCGCAATGATAGACTTGTAATCATTCAGGGATAGATAATGATGTGATGCATTGTTGTAGGGATCTATCAAAAAAAAAAAAAAAAAAAAAGACTCACCAGTCAGGTAGGGCCCATCGCGTTCTGATGAATCCCTTTCTGGACCACTTGCACTGCAAAGCACAAAACACATGAAATCAGGCAGTGCTGAGGTTCTCAAGTTTGTGCACCTCGTGGCACCTAAAAAATAAAGTCACTTAGCCCTCCATGTACCACTACCATGACTAACATTGTAATACTTTTGCATAGTAGGCCAAAGTGTTCACAAAACACAATGTTCTCATGTCTGTTTTCTGAAAATAATAAGCACACTGATCAATGATGGAGAAAAAGTGGCATGCAGAGTGTGGACATCTGGTACACAACAGCTGTTTGATCAGATCCCACCAGTCTTGAGTTAATTATCCAATCACAAGTCTAAAGATCTTTCTCCAACACCACATGATTCACCATGAAGCTGGTTATTAAATGAGGGACAAATTGATGCTGTGTTCTAGTTCTTAAATGGATAAATAAGTCTCTTTCCCCTCAGCCTCCCGTTCACTGTGCAACTCTCTCTGATACTCCTAATGGGGAGTTAATTGTAGTGATGAATAAACTAATTATGCGCCAGGTCACATAATTACAAATTGACAAATTTCATTTAAAAAAAAAAAAAAAAGAAAAAACAAACCAAGAAAAAAAAACCCCTCAGCTTCACATTAAAGGGCTAAGAGGTATTTGATAGCGCCTCACATCCTTCAATCTGCATTAGAACAAGATTAACTGTATCAAATTGAATTACATTAGCATACTTGAATTAATCCATACTGCCTTAAGAGGATGTATGGGCCCAATTATGAGTTGCTGTCCAAATATTGTGACGTTAAAAGCAGCAAATGGAATTGGATGCACGTGAATTATTGACCTTGCGCTTGAAGAAAAAAAAAAAACAATATATTTAACAGACTATAATACTGACTAAATATGACATACATATATAAAAACAAACATTAATTGGCTATGAACACCAATATCCATTTGGACCAAATTGCTTTGTAAAATCTACCGCGCTATTCATGCTTTCCCCTGCGACCTGTTCAGATAAAGTTGAGGAAAGAAAGTGAGTGGCTAGGATGACGAGGGACAAGATGAAAAGTGATGCTGGGGGTGGTCGTGCTCAGCGCCCATACAAGCACTGACTGCAGCCAGAGACGTTTAATCTCGATTTAATTTAAAGAGCCATTAACTGCAATCACAACATTAAAATCAATCACTTCCCTGACACCTGGCCCCAGATTGCCCCATTTGCTCTACGTATGACTGATCGGCCCTCTGCTTCATCGCTTGCTTATAAACACACACACACACACACGCACGCACGCACACACACACACACACACACACACACCTACACACACACACACACACACACACACACACACACACACACACACACACACACACACACACACACACACCCACACACACACACACACACACACACAGACAAGCAACACTTCACATACATCCACACCCACATTCAATTTTTCTAAACAACATAGGCAATTTCTTGTTTTTGCAGAAATGCAGTTAATATGGTTATCTCATGAAATCAATCAGGCAGAGGAAGTACTGTGTCGCTCTATGTTGCTTGACACGAAGACATCATCAAGATTTGGTCGCTGGCATTGTAGCAGAGATGATGACACAGATGACATCCAGCCTCATCGAAACTCCACATCCACAAACGCATCTCCAAAAAAAAGATTCACGTTGACACCATCGTGTGACTTGCTCAAAACAGGAGATGTATTCGGATGAAAAGGATAAGTGACATGTAATCATATCATAAATCAGATTTAGTGGCAGTGAAGAGTCACTGGGCGGGGATGAGGGTGAGAGTCAAAGGGCAATGGTAAAAGGTCGCAAGGCTGGAGGTGACATTGGCTGACCCACCACAGGTCAGTGATGGCGTCTCTGCCCATGACAGTGATGAACGGTGGCTACATGGCGGGTCACATCCAGGGGTGTCAAGCAATACATATACAGGCTGACTGCAACACATGCACACATTCATACACACGTGCACAAGAAAAAATCAGAATGAGAAAAGCAACAAAAAAAAAGAAAGAAACAAATCCCATCTTGGGATGGATAGGTGCAACTGCCCAAATTGGAAACCTAAAAATAACACAAAAAGGGTGCAAATTATCCTTTTTCCCGAAGTATCATTTCACCTTTTACGAGACCAGGGGTGTCAAACTCATTTCACATTGTGAGCCACATACGGACTCGGTAGATGTCAAGTGGGCCAGATCATTAACATTATACCATACTATGCTGTAAATAACCGAAATATCATGTGTTTCCTTAGTTTTGGTATAAAGAAGCATTGGCACATTGATACTGTCTGATGTGTTGGGTCTGTCTCATAGACAGACTGAGACTGCTGTTTTCTTCTCTGATCAAAACAATGTTGTCGTCTACTCTGATGAAAACAATGCGCCCCCTAGTGAATAATCCATGAACTGCATTTTATGAAAAATATTAATTTCGTGTCTTTTATGCATGTTTTCACTTTTGAAATATCCTGCGGGCCTGATCGAACCTCCTTGGGGGCCTGTTCCGGCCCGCGGGCTGTAAGTTTGACACCCCTGTGCTAGACCATCGTGTTTGATATAAATAAAGGTCTACTCAGGATGTGGTAAGGAACATATGCATTCATGTTCGAATAAAGAAATAGCAATGTGAGTTATCTGTCAGTGGATGACAAAGATGGTGAGTAGCAAAGAATACACAACAAATACAGTGGAACCGCAAAAGTGGATCCAACCTGTTCTCTTGTTCAAATTCAAATCAAAATTTGAATTAAAATAATCGGTTCCAGCTCCAAACATTTAGCACGAGTTTAAGATTCCTACAGGTATGTAAGAGGGTATCATAAAGCCGTCTTGCAGAGGTGCCTGACTCCTCTCATTTTGTTAACCACTCTACTTTTTGAGAAGAGGCAAGCGACGTACAGTACATCGGAGCTCGCCGGTCGTTAGGTGAATGTCTAGTGCTAACAGTAATCTTAACAGTCTTTGAAATGACCCAGTGCTCCTTATTGTCCAACAGTACGCACCTGTGATTTAAATTACAAAATGCCGGTCAATAGCAAGAGGCCGGCCATCTGATGAAGGAAGGAAATGTAGGAGCTGCCAGATTAAAAGCAGCACTAAACTTGCTGTTTTACAGATTCAATACTTGCATGTGGCTACAAGCGATAACCGTCAGACCCAACATGACGTTATCTCTGTTGCTGAAATACCACAAGTGACAGACCCATAACACCGGTCGCCGGTTTGCTCTGATTGTAGCAGATCGCGCCCTGACTCGCAGTGGACGCAGAGTGGCTGCGCTCCTCGCCTCTGACATCAGATCACCCGCCAAATGTGTTCTTGTGTTTCTGACTTGATTTGAATTTTTGGACTCAAGTACAGGAATACTTTCCAGAAGGCAGTATATAATTTCAAATGGCATAAATAAAAGGTATGAACAAATACTGTCAAATTAGTCAACATATACTTTAGAAATGGATAGTTTTATTATTGTGAGCATAGCCAGATTATTGCTGCAGCAATAATAGTATTTTGGAGGAATATTAATACAAAAATTGGATGGACAGAGATAGTGGTGCATATGGTTTGAAGACGTGTTTTTTTTTTCCAAAACGCAGGAAAATGCACATATACCACGAGCGATGCCACAATATTGCAAAAAACATTGAGCAACAGCTAATTTTAATCAGAGATGGCTCTATGTGTCCCTAAACATATTTTGACGCCAATTCAAAAAGTCTATTTTTTTTTTTTTAGCACATCAGGTTTTGCGATATTTTCATTTTTGGTTTGAACTATAAAGCTCACACAATACCTGTTTTATGATTTGGGATTTCTAGCTATGACTTTTGGGAAAAAAAAATCAGCTGTTGCTGAACCTTCATAAATATTCCTAAATATTTTACCATGTTAGGCAGCCTGGTGGCCCAGTGGTTAACGCGTCGACCACACAGTGCAGGTTCAATTCCAGCTCCGGCCTCCCTGTGGGGAGTTTGCATGTTCTCCCCGGGCCTGCGTGGGTTTTCTCCGGGTACTCCGGTTTCCTCCCACATTCCAAAAACACGCATGGTAAGCTGATTGAACACTCTATATTGTCCCTAGATGTGAGTGTGAGCATGGATGGTTGTTTGTCTCCAAGTGCCCTGCGATTGGCTGGCAACCGGTTCAGGGTGTCCCCCGCCGACTGCCCGAAGACGGCTGGGATAGACTCCAGCACCCACCGCGACCCTTGTGAGGATAAAGCGGTTCAGAAAATGGATGGATGGATGGATTACTATCTTATTATGATTAGAAAATTATTAGGTAAGCCTGAGAAAACATGTGCAGATTCGGAATCTGCACACCCCCCCACCCCCTCCCACCCCAAAAAAGAAGAAACCAGATTCGGAATCAGCACAAAAAAAATAATACTTGCACTTCTGAGTGTATTAAAACATTTTTCAAAAATTAGATGACCATTCACACACCCACACACACACACACTTCAAACATCGCGTCAAACGACATGTAACATGGAATGTAAGTTAGCAGAGAACCACATTGACAAAGTTAACTTTAGAGATATCATCCCCGTGTCAGAGCATATTATAGAGGGGAGTGGCAGGATGTATGGAATCAATTCAATGCTTTTATGGGGAGACTTATGGCGTGAACAACAAATATAAACTCTTCTGGTCGTTGATCTACTGCCTCTCTGCTATTTTCATCCTTTTCTTTTTATTTATTTATTTATTTTTTTCTCCTCCCGTGTAAAACAATCAATAGCAAGGGCACATTAATGTTTTGGTCGTATACTTTATTTATATTGGGCAATGACAAATCTGTATGATGGAATGGTTTGCAGAGACATGTATTACTGCAGCAGCCGCATACATAGATTAATGCTCAGTAGGGGGTGAAAATATTGTCAGAACAAAGTAAGCCATCAAGACACCAAATCCATTATGGCAACCTTTCAAAAGATATTTACAAATTTACTTCTTGATGAATATGTTAATTAATCTCACATTACACATCGACAAATTAAAATAAATGGTCATGAGTATGAATTGCAAATGTAATTCATTTAGAGACTATTAAATTACAATTAAACGGAGACGGAAGACAACAGACCAAATTCAGCTATGATCCCCCACCCCATCATGAACCATGTTGTAGCACAGAGAATACTGTGGAACTTAACTCAAATTATTGAGTCATTCGCATACAATTGCGGGGTCACTGAGGCTGGTGTGGTACGCTGGACTCACTTGGATGGAGGCAGCATGGGTTCAGTTCATGCTCAGTGAAGGTATGAATATGAAGTTATATGGTTGTCTGTCGTCATACGGCCTTGTGATTGTCACCGACCAGACTGCGGCCGTGTCTGCCTTTCACCAGAAAGGCACATAACAAGGCTCATATAACAAGATGAGCTCCATATGGAAAATGGATGGATGGACAGCCAGCCATAAGAGAGTGAACATATACTGTACATATATACATTCATACTACAATTTCATATTGCAGTTGATTTCTATGCGGGAAAAGAGTGCTACAACCTGAGTGGGAAGGACAGGACAATGTAGGTTAGGACAAGACAGGACAGAACAGGGTGGGAGAAGAAGAAAGCAGTTCTGTGTTAATGCAGAGTTGTTTATAGTAATTTAGGTGTGGTCCCACCCAAGCTACTGAATCCGATCCGTGTGTCTACATTAATTTTATTTATTTTTTAATTCAGTTCGTTTTAATTAGTTTTTAGAGCAAGTGTGTTCGCTTTTATTAATTTTTTTTGTCAAATACGCTACGTTTTACTTTAGTTTTTATTTGTTTAGTTTTTTTCTTTAAATATATGTATGTGTGAGTGCGAGAGGGAAAAAGGTAAAAGAACAAAACTGTAATAAAGTAAACTACAATTCTCAAATGACAGTTTCACCTTCCTTCTTCTGCTGTATGGACATACTGCAATATGGAATGAAAGCTGAAACCTCATGTATGATATGAATTGACAAAAAACAAAATGTACATTTTACTATTGTTCTAGTTGGGTTCAAGTGAAACATTTTCCTTTTTATTTTATGTTGATAATACAATTTTTTTAAATTTTAGTTTTAATTATTTATATTAACCTTGATCCCAGCATCATTGGAACTGATCATACATTCTTCAGTTCAGAAGTTGACAAGTTTCGCAGAAATTGCAGTTTTTTTCATTTTATTTTTTTTTCCATACGTGCCCGCACAAAGACACACACACTGACTACTATCACAGCATGATGTCATCAACAGCCAGCCCAATGACACTTTATTGATGGGGACCTATAAAAGGTAAGACAGATGCGGAGAAACAAACATCTGTCTTCCACCAGCCAACTCATCTGTCTGCGCATCACTCTACAACCTCCCGCAGCGGAGTTCTTATGACAAATAAAAACTAGTTTATAAAATATCTAATCTAACCGAATAAAATAGTTCATTTGAAGTGAACATCAGTTATGAGCACGTTAACAAAGATGCAGTGGCTGCCCTCTTGGTCTGTCTGGTCGAATGTCTTTTCCCCAAATCTGTCCCTCCAATATCATGACATGGCTGAGACCATGTGACCTGAACAAGCTGAGACTCGACGCAACTGGTTTGGGACTGTGTGTGGCACATTGTTCCGTCCAAGATCTCCATGTAATAGGATTCCTCAAAGCCTCGGATGGATGGCAAATGTAGGCAGTTTCATCTACTAAAAGAGGGCATAAATCACACGTGGAGGAAGCAGGGACGAGGCAGGGGTTATCACCAGTCTGCCTCCCTCATGAGAGCTTTGCATTAAAGCATTAGTGAAATTAATTCATCTTTCATAAGAGGTTTGAGCAGTATCTGTGATCTATGATAACAACCAATTTCTCACTATGGAGAGCCGGAGGAGGAGGAGGGAGACAGGGGGAAAAAAAATAATAAAAAAAATACTCAGCGACCCTGATAGACTACACAAATCTGCTCTTTTTAAATGGGCTAACATTATCTGGAGTGCCGCTCTCCGGAGCATCATCCCAGATTCATATCCCAGGCGGGAAAGGAGCATAAATCACAGGGGGAAAACTTTTCTTAACCACCACCCACCTCTACCTCTCCCTTCGTGCGACATCACTCCCCTTCTCGCGCTCAAGATGGACTGTGCCATCGTGTTTTGTGTTTTTTTTGATGTTTGTCCTTCGAAAGGCAGAATCATGCGTTGACATAATGGTGAAATAGATGTGCAACTTACTCGAGGCGATTCGTTTTATTCAGATCATATCCAGATGTGGCGTCTACGTGTATATCGGATATGTGGCACTGCCAGGGTGTGGATTTATGTCGGTCCGCGGAACTTGGATGGGTTTGTATGGCGGTATAGCTACAGTTTGTGAAAGGCATGGAAATAGGGGGAAGAGTGCGGACAGGGATGATTCCATCTGTTTTGCATATATGTGCAGAGGCGGCCATTGGAGCATGGTTGACAGATGAGTGGGGAGTGCGGGGATGACAACGCGGGCAGTCGTGCTCTTCATGACTACATCAGCACAGCTCTGCTCAATGCTCAGCTTGCCTATGACGGCGCACAGCACCATACAGGACAACTGAACACATCAGAGTAAGTACAGAACTGGTCCTCAGGAACCAACAAGCAGGCTGTGTTTCAAAGACTCCAAGCTACTCTATATAATTCTTTATTGTTGTGATTAATGTAGTACTAATGTCGTAGTTTCACAGAAATTAAAATGTCCTGAAACACAAGCAGAGGACAGACATGTCACTCTGACCTAACCACTCACCTCAGGAAAGTAGTCCTGTGGAAACTTCTCTTTTTCCAGGGAGGGTGTGCTTTCTAAGGTCTCGGAGCAGGTTTCCTTCCCAACCACCTTCCTATATTTCTTTGCTGATTGAAGAAATGAAAAAAAAAAATTGGTTCATTTTTTTCAAGACCCCAATGAATTCTCTAAACAAGGATTTAGAGCGCACAATGAGCAACCCCCTTGTACAGACAACTGCACCATCTGCTGGTGTGAAAGCAGAACTTGAAGCGAACAGATTCAAGACCAGTTGAGTCCAGACTGACATTAAGCCTTGTGCTATAACAACCTCGATTTTTCTCAAGCATCTTTGTTATTGATGCAGTCGATAAGACATAGAAGAATAATGCATGCAATCAACAGAGGAAGCAACTTAAATTTTATTCTGTAAATTTTTTTCAATTTTAGTGCACTAATTACAAATTACTTTTGTTTTAATTTAAACTTTATTCAAAATGTTTAGTTTTTTTAAATGATGCATACTAGTTTTTCTAGTATGCATAATATAAAAGTAGTAAATTGATCTATACAATCAAAATGTGGTATACATCTTAAACTGGAAAAAGGTGAAAAAAAAATTGGAAATCGTGAAAAAAGCAGAATATTTTAAAGTTGGAACAGTTTGAATCGGTCAAAAAGAGAAAGAAATTACAGGGGAATAAAACTAGCAAAATATATACTTTTTTTTGCTTTTTTTTTTTTTTGTGAAATTTTGAAAAAAAAAATGCAGGAGGGATAAGCTCAACTGTTTAATATAGGAATGGTTTGAATCGGTCCAAAAAATGAAGAAATAAGGGATTAAAAACCTTAGAAAATCTTAATTTGGGGAATTTTGTTTTGAAAATTTGAAATAAATTGTGGTAGGGATAAGATGAACAGTTTTCAGATGGAATAGTTTGGTCAAAAAATGTGGAACTTAGACCGCCCCCCTCCCAAAAAAAAGTTAATATTTAGCTTTAATTTATTTTTAATTTTTTTTAGTGCAAATGAGCTGAATAGTTTAAAGTTGGAACGATTGGAATCAGTCAAAGTAATTCGGAATTAGAGGTTGAAACCCACAAATTTTTGGATTTGAATTATGAATTTTTTTGATAAATGATCGTAATACGAATGAGCCGAAAAAATTGAAGTTGGATCGGTTAGTACAGTAGTAGTCAAAAAACGTAGAAGTTAGGGGTAAGAAAATCCAAAAGACAAAAGTGAAGCGCCACCCCTGAAGGCAGCTATTAATTTCACAACAAAGGAGAAAGTATAATACACAGGATAGTAATATGGGCTGCTTGCTTCACTAGCAGTGCCATTATTCATGGTACTGGTCGGTCGCAATCTCATAATTAAAATAATTTACACGCACCATATCTTTGAAGATTTGAAAAAAAAAAGTTTTACTCATACCATCGTAGAGACATTTGTGCAGCTTATATTTAAGTATAACTATTTAGATGAAACGTTAACCCCATTCCAAACGTCAGGTTTTCGCTAAATCATCATTTAGAAGTATGCACAGAGTAGTGGTCTTCTTTTCTGAAGGAAGCCGCCTCTGCCATCGCCCTGTCCTTCACTGGGGTAACTGGCGCTAACGCTGACTTGGGTCTAATAGGAAGCAAGGCGCCACCACATCTATATCCCTCCTTTAATTAGCGCGGCCACAGGACTCCGGGGCCCTCTGACACCGCAGGCTGATGAGACTGCCGTAACTGTCCAATAACCTGCGGAACACCATTACCGTAGGCCCGAAATCTTATGAATTAAATCCTAATATTAATAAGCATTACCACTCGGTACCGCTCTTTTTACATTATCCTCAAAGACAATCTTAGCTCATTGATTTTGATTGAAGCAGGAATAGCCCGCAAATGGTTGCATGTGATATGCAGCGGAGGGATGAGGGGCCACCATAGGTGGATTCCATTTCGAGTCTGTTGCTGTGATGTATATGTGTGGCTCACCTTTGAAATCAAACTGCTGGATGTTTTTCAAAGACTCATGAATGAAGTAGAAACTCCCCAGCGCCTGAAAGAACAACAGACAGAAGATGAAGCAAAGGAAGCTGCTCATCGAATTGGTAATATACGAAATGATGTCGAATTGGGAATATACAGTACCCGGAGTACAGTAAACAGTGCGGTCTGTGTATGCACCCTACGTACTTCTTCCAATGCGGCGACTCATCAATTTCAGCTAACTAAAGGACAAATTCAGCGGAACCTTTGAACGGGTAGAGATCCACTTCAATAGGCTTAAAATTGAAATTTTCTCTGCGGACAATCGGAAAACTTTCCCAGGAAAAAGTGAGTCGCCCAGATGGGGATTTGATGCGGTTCACAGTCCACTACACTGCTTTCTGTTGGCCCGATTTAAATTTAATGCAACTGAAGGCAAAGCCCAGGCTCAATCCGCTATGTCTTTGAGATGGCAAACCTCGGGCTCGGATAATTCTGAGTCTCTTTTCTCTTCTTTGGCAAAGGCTGGTGAGTAACTTTTTCAAGAAAGAAGAGTACAAATTAGAAGACTAATGGGTATTGCAAAGAAGTTAATGGCGAAAACCAGAGAGCAAAGGATAGACATGAAGTGAAGTCAAGGTAGGGGATGGCAAGGGAAACGGGAAATGAATGGTAAGTGATGAAGTGAAGATTTGAGGGCTCGATCAGATAAAGGAGACAGGGCATGAGTTTAGTCTTCCTGTATTTTCCAGCCGAGGCCTGAAGAAAACGCCTCTATCTGACAGGATGGGAGACAGTCTGGGCCCAGCCTGCATTATTTATGAGTGCTGGCACATCTTGAGATTAAACATTTGCTGATTTGTCAAAAGCACAAACATGAGGTCCTGCTCATCTCCTTGACATATAAGTTCAGCCATTGGAAAAAAACACTGTCGCGCATTTAATTGATGAGGGGAGCGGCTGGTGACCTGTACCTCCTGTGCGCTCCCCTACTTCCTCGCTCTGATGGAGGACAGAGAAAAAAGGGGGACGGATAGAGGAGGGGGCTCGAGAATAAGAGAGAATAGCATTGGGCGAAGGCAATACTCAAGGTCACAGCTTCCCAGTTTTTCCTGGTTTCCAAGAAATTCCACCTCTACTATGCGCACTTGTCTTTGGCTTGTCTGTCCTCGTTCGACAAAGCGTAAATCTTACATACATTGATAGATAAGAACGCCCAGTGTGTGCGTAAATACTGATTACTGTAACTGAAAATCATTCTTTCCCAAGAATTTTGTGCACAATTTTAATATTCATTCATTCATTTTCCGATCCTCTTTATCCTCACAAGGGTCGCGGGGGCCTGTTTTTGGAATGTGGGAGGAAACCGGAGTACCCGGAGAAAACCCATGCAGGCCCGGGGAGAACATGCAAACTCCACACAGGGGGGGCGGAGCGGGAATTGAACCCGGTACTTCTGCACTGTGAGGTCGACGCGCTAACCACTGGCCCACCGGGCCTCCCACAGTTTTAATATTGTGGGGTTAACTGAAAAAGGTAGATTTGTTTTTGCATTATTTTGTTCTGAGCTTAAAAACAGTATGTGCAGCATGTTTATCGAATATTTGTGATTCAAAGTCACTGCTCAATTCATAAAATTGAAAAATTACAAAGGTAAAAAAGGAATGCAATTCACAAACATATACACATTTATATACACACACACACACACACACACACACACACACACACACACACACACACACACACACACACACAGGTATATATTTGTTTTTGCTTTTTTTATGGGTGTAATTATACGTTTATTGATCAATACAGTACATTTCGACGTTACGGGTCAACACAAAGCGATACAGTGATCCTTCGCCATTTCACGCTCAAAGTTTTGCGGCTTCAGTGTGTCGCAACCCCCCAGCACCACCAAATTAATTTTAAAAATAAATAAATAAAAAATACAGCCAATACCATATTGTGTCAAGACGCGTTGTTTCATGTTGATGAGTGAGAGAGTTTTCCCTGCATGCCGAACAAAGAGTTGCGTGACTCAGGGACTTTGTACATGCCCATGCAAACAAGGCACGTGATTAGCGCGACATTGACCAATGACAACATTGTTGATTGCTTTAACAGCGGCGGCAGGGAGTTGGTTCGCAGCCTTGTCCGGGTAGCATTATTTTGAAGGTTTCCTGACCTGGTGAGCTGTTTTTTAGACACGTCACAAGGAAGCCATGACACAGACAGCTCAGGTGAAGGCTGATGAGACAGCCAAAAGTTTTTTTTTTCTTCATGAAAAAAAAGACCATTGTCTGATGAAAAATAAACCATAAAGCTATTTCAACTAATAAGAAGACAAAATGAACTTCATAGTGCAACTCATCACCATGTTTTTCTGCAATTTAAAAACTTCAGCTACACCGTCAGCGGCTCCAGCAGAAGCGTCTCGAGGGAACCAAAAGCCTCCGAGTTAACTATGAGCTACTTTCTATGCCACCAACACAAGCCTCTTCACCTCTCTCGGAAGGCAATGTTCATGAATGTTAATTATTTTATAAAGTTTTATAATTAAAAAATTTAAGTAAATATGTCTTCTGTTGTCATTCCTGTCTCAAATATCCATCCATCCATTTTCCGATCAGCTTCATCCTCACAAGGGCCGCGGGGGGTGCTGGAGTCTATCCCAGCCATCTTCAGGCAGTAGGCGGGGGACACCCTAAACCGGTTGCCGGCCAATCGCAGGGCACACAGAGACAAACAACCATCCGGGCTCACACTCACACCTAGGGACAATTTAGAGTGTTCAATCAGCCTGTCATGCATGCATGTCACGCAGGCCCGGGTAGACCATGCAAACTCCCGGAGACGGGATCGAACCCACGACCTCTGCACTGTGAGGTTGACGCGCTAACCACTGGACCACCAGGGCGCGCTGTCTCAAATATGTAAACTATAAACACTGTTTTCACGTTTTAAACATGGTGGTACCTGTGATGTTTCTTGCTTGCAACAGCATCAGTGATCAGACAGACAACAACATCGTGGACAGCGACTCTTCCATCCAGCTTTGCCCCACATGTACACACACGTAACTGGTCTGTAGTCTATGTCCTTCACCAAGAGAGGCTGCTAACATACTAAGGAACAGCCGTGAAATCCTGATTCACATTTAACTGTATGCAAACATTACAGCCACTTACAAACACGAAAATCCCTCATTGGGGCAAATCATACTTCGCAGTTTTTCACTTTTCTTGACGGCGGGGGTTATGCGTGGGGGAGGTCTGGTACCAATTAACAGTGAAAAACGAGGGATTACTGTGTCTCACCTTTTTTATAGTAATACAATTCGTAACGATAAAGCCGATTCCCATCCAGTATTGATGCCTTGTCTGTCAATAACCTAATTAAAAGTAACTCCAAATAAACACAATAGAATGCTCTTTGATTGGATTTTATTTTAAAACCAACTCACCTCTGTTGACTGCAAAATGTAAAAAAAAAAAAAAAAAAAAAAAAAAAACTGATAACACATCAATTAAATAGATGTATCGTTACAACCACGATACACAGATCGATCGACCGATCGATAGACAGATAGATCCTCCCAAAAACACGCCTTAAAGAGCAAAAGGACAGTCTCATCAAAGCATCAATTAAATGACATTAGAAATGATATTCCTCTGCTTCTCCTTTAACGAGCCATTCTTAAGGCAATTGGATGGGAACAAATGAATGGACAACTACCCTTTAGTAGCTTTCTGTACACTACTTAACCCTCAACCTTGATGCAAAGATCCTATTTACATCAAGGTTCCAAAACCAAGTGGCTTGCTAGGCTCCCTCTCATCTGCCTCACTGCATGGCTCTTCATGAAGAAGCTATTATATTAGCAAGCTACAATTAATCCATTTGTCTCCTAACATGACAGGCACCAAATATTCATTAGGGCTTGGCTGCGCTGACAGGCCATGCTGATCATTTACCAAGAGCTTTACAAAGGTCTGTGTCAAAGGTATGTTTGTCACGTCTCACTTTATTGATTAGCTGCCACATTTCCATGAAATAATTAAAAGTATATTTTACATATTTATCAACCCCACTGCCACAGCGGCTACTTAATCCCGCATTAGGAAAATGCAGTCTATTAGGTGCATGATGAGGGGGAGCTAAGGGAAAATGAGTAATCACCTTAATTGGAGACAGAAAGACAATAACTGCACCATAAAAGCTTGGATTTTATGGCTTGTTCTGCCAATCCTATCTCTTATCACGACTTGTATTGCCAATGCCACTCGGAGATAAGGGAACATTGGCTCCGCTCTCCTTTGTGCGTGTGTGTGTGTGTGTGTGTGTGTGTGTGTGTGTGTGTGTGTGTGTGTGTGTGTGTGTGTGTTCATGCAAGTGTGCAGTTGACATTTCTAATACCCGGGCAGATAAGAGCTGAAGAAGTCCCAATAGACTGGCTAGTAGAAAATAGAGACTTGAGTGCTGCAGTACATAGCCTGCATACTTTGCTCCCATGAATGCTTTATCGATACCGAGGGCTGCAGGAATTAGTTCTGGCCAATGGAGAGAAGCAGGATTTCTGTGACCTCTGAATAGATTTTCTGCATTTAACGTGAAAAATGGGCCATAAAGCAAACATAAAAGTAATAATTTTTCTTCAAGGTCTCACCTCCAATATGTGCGAGGGGAAAGCTACCAGTCCCAAGAGAGCTGCCACATACGCACTCCAGTGTCATCAGAGTGTCACTGTACAGCTTCTCCGAGTGATATTCTGCTGTCCCACAGCCACTAACAACGTGGGGCATAATGGGTTTGTGTGCTCACCGTCCAGTGAGGTTTTTAATAGGAAAAACTGCAGACAGGCTCAAGGTTCTGTCCAGCACATAAATGGAGAGGGGCCTGTTTTGCTGCTATCTAAATGTGCCATTCCTTCTTGGCATGTATACTTCATTCAGTGCGTAAGACAGAATTGTCTGAGATGAGGGGACACTTCTGTGCAAAAAGATGCAGTGACATCAAATTAGTGGTTGATTGTGGTTGAGATGTGGAAGAACCACAGCCCGATCC